CCTACAGATGAATATTTAAGTCAAGTTCACGTAAACTCTTCTCTCCGCAGCGGCTGTCCGTCATCCTCCATTCAGCATTCAAACTGTGTGTCACTTTCGTTTATGAGTGTGTAACATACAAAAGAGTGATGATCGACCTACACATTGAGGTACAGAAATTCTACACTCATTTAAAATAACTGCGCTGGTATCGGATCGATATCGGTATCGGCAGATACTCAGAATTTTTGGTATCGGATCGGTATTGGTTCTGAAAAAGTGGTATCGAGCCATCCCTACAGTATTGTTCTGAAAAATTACTGCTGCACTAATGTGTATGTTGCATTTTACTTCTGAATATGTTCAAGGTTATTAAATTTAAAGTTGCCTACTTCATATACTGTTGGGTAGTTTAATCTACAACAATGCATCATGTTGTAAAATACCATATTTTTAGTGTTGCTGTCCTGTGAGAAAAAAAGAAAACTTAGTACTTCACATTTGTACGAGAATACTTAAGGAATGTACTTCCTTACAGACCACCACTGGTTGTTTTGAAAATGAAAGTAACAACATTTATTGTCAGAATATTAACAAATTGTTGCTAACAATATCAAAGACTGCATCCGAAGGACTCGGACCGGCCAAACAGAGCACTGTTCAGCTGTCATTGAGCTGTACAATGCTCTATTATTATTATTATTTTATGCTTAACTGCCTAAAAAATCCGGGTTGCAAACCTGTCTACATATGATCACCATGGTCAAGACAATAAACTATATAAAATTGCACCTTTGTACTGTAAGATACCAGTCAGCATTTGAACTGCTGTGTGTGTGTATTTTGTAGTTTTTCATATGTATCATTACATTATTAAAGTAAGCTCCAAGCCAATACCTGCATTTAAAGTTGTAATCCGGCAATTAAGGATGTAGCAAACCAGTGTAACTCACCTGTCCTCGGTCTTGGCTAAGCCTGAGGTACATCACCATCTCCTCCATTATGACGTAAATCATAAAAACAAAAAAGCAATTCTGGCTCCACCTGTCCTGTCAGGATGGCAGCTCTCCTCTCGCACTGTTGCTATGCGACGGGAACCCCTGGTGGCACAATTAGGAACTCCTGCGAAGGCGGCGCGTCCTTCATGCACTCGGGAGGGTCCTTCGTGCACTTTGGAGGCGTGGCCTTCAAAATGTGCACACTTAACTTTGGGACACAGCTTTAGGGTGTATTCACATCAGGAAAGTCCGCTAGTTCACTTGCTTTGGACCGGACCAAATACAATTCCTTTTCACACAGCCTTTTTTGCAAGTGAACCAGAAACTGTAAACAAAACCACACGTGTGCTTAAGGTCATCCATTCATTGGTTCATCCATGGGAGAAACGAAGCTTTTCGAAGCTTCGAATCAATTGAACCAATTGCTTCACAAAATGATTTACTGTTTCAAAGCGTTTGAAACACCACACGCTAATATGACATAAAAATACTCTGTGCTAGAACAATTTCAGTTGAGTCACTGTGTCTGTTTAGTCCTATCCGACAAGGGATATGGCTGCATGCATTGAGAACCACTACCACTGAAAAAAGCCAAAGTCCCTTTCCAGAGTCATTTCACTCGGTGGCCATCTTGGGAAGTTTCACAACACCATTTCAATTTAAGGCTGTTTCAATGGTATCTGGAGCTTCTAACAGCTGCAGTGATGCTGTCATAAAAAAAAGCAAGAACTGTTGTAAAAACCTGAGGTCTGGGAGAAAGTGTTTCAGTGCTCGAAACACGGCCAGCATCCCCAGACAATTGATATGCCATGTCAGATGGTGACCACTCCACAGGCCGCGGGCAGGGTGTGTGAAGGTCGGGGGAAAATGGCAGGCTCCGGCATGGAGGTGGCGGCCTCGCTCGCAGGAAGCGTTCATCCATCTTGCTTCGCTGCGGCTCAGCCTGCTTCACTCCCAAGCAAGCCATGCACAGGCTGTGTGTATCCCCACTCGTGATATAACGTGGGCAGGGAGGAACACACAACCTATAACGTGGCTTGCTCTCACCCTTGAAATGCTTTGTCTTTGCGTGAGCTTTAGACATAGCTGGAGCTTATAGACTTTTCACAATAGACAGACAACAATAAATATGACTGACACACACAGAGCGCTTCGCTGAATGACAGAAAGCTGACGCTGGCTCCGCCGCCCTAGCGTTTTCCGATGCAGCTCGAGTTCCTGAAGAGGAACGTGGAGTTAATTGAAATAGTCCATGCTTGCTACCAGACTTTCCTCCTGCAGAAATGGTTTGTGTCAAGTGATAACTGTAAAAGTGAATGCTTGTAATTTTGAAAGGACCAGAAGCAGGCGGGGCTACTTTAGTCATTGTTCAAATGTAATGATTAATTAAATTCATTTGTTTTTTTTGTTGTTGTTGTTTTTTATGTAGCTCGTCCTGCGGTTAATGTGAGAGGGGAGGAGCCTGTTGCTGGTTCTTTAGATATGAATTTGGCATCATGCTTTGCCTCTAATGCTCGGCCTCCAGCAGAAGTGATGTGGAGATTAGGAGATCTGAATAACTCCCTCAGGACAATAACCAATCATACAGTGAACCCAGATGGGACAGTTACTGTTGTGTCCTACCTACTGGGGGCCCCATTCAAACACTTAAATAAGAAGAATGTTCAGTGCATGGTGAAACACGGCACTCTAAAAGAAGAACTTGTGCTGGACTACACAATAAACATCCATTGTAAGTGCACATATGGTGTATTAACCAACAATCTGCATATGACTGTTATATGCCTTTCACATTAGTTTTTTTGGTTGCACAGAAACTGAGTTGCTTAATGGCTATAAATAAAGCAGTAATGCACTGACACAAACTTACAGTTAAGGAAATTACTCATATGTTGATTTAGTAGCTGGATTCTGTGACTACATTTAGAGAATGATTCGTCAGACTGGTTCAGTCTGGGAAATTCTGGGAAGTTTTTGAGTCTTTTAAAATTATTCATTAAAAGAACCAGCTCATAATTTTTTAATCCGACTACACAGGTTGTGCTGTGTATTTGTTTTGCGTGCAGCCATGAGGAACACCACATGAAACTTTTAGTGAGTGACTCATGCTAGAAATACATGTTATGTTCGCCAACAATTTTGTTAATTAAATGTATATATTTTTAAAATAATTTTTCACATTTCTGAAACAGCATGAAGACATCACTATTCTCAAAATTATTACTCTATAAACCGCAGTGTAAAAATTAAGGCTTTATTTTCACAAATAAATAGTGTTTATGGATATATTTTGCTGCTTATTTTTCTTAGATCCTCCTGAGTCCATGGTTATAATTCCTGACAGTCCAACACATGCTAAAGAATTCAAGTGTATAGTGGATAGTAACCCAGAACCAACCAGCTACTCTTGGACAAGGTAATATAAATGTATTTTTCAGGCTGTCCAACAAATGCTAAATAATTCAAGTGTATAGTGGATAGTAACCCAGATCCAACCAGCTAAACCTGGACAAGGTAATAAAAATGTATTTTTCAGGATGTGAATAATGGCTTGTGCTTAATGGACAGTTAAAAGTTAAAAAATATATTTAGCACTCAGTTTAAATAAATTCAAAATCAGTCAGATAATTATCAAGAAGGTAATACATTATTGAAGGCATGCTTTATGAAAAAGTCACTAAACACACACACTTAAGAAAAATTGTTCTAAACAGTACCAGAAAAGGGTTATTCGGCTTGTAACAATAGCAGAACCCTTTTT